GGTGCGGCCTGGCCGCTCAGCAGCAGTTGCGGGTGCAGTGGCTCCGGAGGTCACGGTAAGAGGCAGTAGCGACGCGGCCTAAGGGGCCTGGGCCTGGGCCTGGGCCTGGGTTTGGGCTTGGGCTTGGGCGGGGACGGGGAACGGCGGCGGGCGGCCCCGCGTGTGGCGCCTCCATTTTGTGACCGGCGGGTTCTGGCAGGGCGGCGAGCGGTCGACATGAGGCGCGTCCTGTTGGCGCTGCTGCTGTTGGTGGGCGCCGCGCGGGCGGACGAGGAGGAGAAGAAAGAGGACGTGGGCACGGTGGTGGGCATCGACCTCGGCACTACCTACTCGTGGTACGTGGGGAACGGGCGCGGGGCGGGGGGGAGAAATCGGTTGGGTCCGTAGGCCGGGGGGAGGGGGGGGCTGCCGGGCCTGTGGGGCCCCGGAAGCGGTTGGGTTGTGGGGGGGAAAGGGAGGAGCGGAAGTGGAGGTGCAGGCCCCGGCGCCGCCTGACCGTTCGGTTTCGTTGTCCCCCAGTGTGGGCGTCTTCAAGAATGGCCGCGTGGAAATCATTGCCAACGACCAGGGGAACCGCATCACGCCGTCCTACGTGGCGTTCACGCCCGAGGGGGAGCGTTTGATCGGGGATGCTGCCAAGAACCAGCTGACGTCCAACCCTGAGAACACTGTGTTTGATGCCAAACGGCTCATCGGCCGCACTTGGAACGACCCGTCTGTGCAGCAGGACATCAAGTACCTGCCCTTCAAGGTGGGTCTGAGCACGCAGGAGGTGGGGGGCCTACACCTCTCAAAAGAGGCTTACTGGGTTGTGTTGCCCTTCTGGGCAGCCTCGTGGTTCCCTAGTCTTCAACCCAGAGGGTTATGCTGCAGGGATGTGATGTACAGACAGCAGCTAGTGTGGAAGCTGTCTGTTAATACAAGCTTTGCTTAACTTTCAGAGGGAAAGAAACATTCAGGCAAGTAGGAGTCATTCTGTGAATGGATGAATAGGTTGAACAATATATATTGTTCTTTTCAGGTTGTTGAAAAGAAAGCCAAGCCCCATATTCAAGTTGATGTTGGAGGTGGACAGACAAAAACATTTGCTCCTGAAGAAATTTCTGCTATGGTCCTGACAAAGATGAAGGAAACAGCAGAGGCGTACTTGGGGAAGAAAGTGAGTTCATGAGCGCTACTAAGAATGTAAAGCCAGCAGCACTATAAAACTGAAGATGGGTGGGCTGAATCCTAAATCTGCATCATGCTGCTGGTCCCTACAGGAACCCAGTTGAGTGGGCTGAGCTGAAGGTGGATTTTCACCTGTTACGAGCAATGGGCTGTTTGTTGCCAGCATTGCTGTGGTTACTTACAAGCTGTGTGCTTTTCTTTCTGTAACAAATTTGTATCTCTTCCTCCTTAGGTTACACATGCTGTTGTTACAGTGCCAGCCTACTTTAATGATGCTCAGCGCCAGGCCACCAAGGATGCTGGGACTATTGCTGGGTTGAATGTGATGCGCATCATCAATGAGCCGTAAGTGTTCTGACCCCCCCTGCCCACTGCTCGGGGGAGAGGTGGTCCCAGTGTCCTCAGTTTGGTTGTTCCCTATACAGAACAGCTGCTGCCATTGCTTATGGATTGGACAAGAGAGAGGGTGAGAAGAATATCCTCGTGTTTGACTTGGGTGGTGGAACTTTTGATGTCTCCCTCCTCACCATTGATAATGGAGTCTTTGAAGTCGTGGCTACTAATGGTGACACTCACCTGGGTGGAGAAGACTTTGACCAGCGCGTTATGGAGCACTTCATCAAGCTTTACAAGAAGAAAACTGGGAAAGATGTCAGGAAGGATAACAGAGCAGTGCAGAAGTTGAGACGGGAAGTGGAGAAAGCCAAGAGAGCCTTATCGTCCCAGCACCAGGCTAGAATTGAAATAGAATCCTTCTTTGAAGGAGAGGATTTCTCGGAGACTCTCACTCGAGCCAAGTTTGAGGAGCTGAACATGGTAAGTTTAGAAAGGCAGAGTTCCATTGCCTCAGCTCTAGATTGGAGACCTGCAAATGTGCAGTGACCCTGCCCTTTGGAATATAAATAACTTCCTGCTTGCACTGCAAAGTGGGCAGCTGCTCCTGGCCAGGGGAGCTGGGGCTGTGTGTTAGTGACAGCTGAGGTCTCATCAGGCTGGTCAGGAGCCAGCTGATGTTTCTCCTCTGTCAGGCTGTGTAACTGGGGACTAGACACGAGGCAAAGAGCCTTACAGTCCTGTCTTACCTTCCCAGGACCTGTTCCGTTCCACTATGAAGCCTGTTCAGAAAGTCCTGGAAGATTCTGACCTAAAGAAGTCTGATATTGATGAGATTGTGCTTGTTGGTGGCTCCACTCGCATCCCCAAAATACAGCAACTAGTTAAAGAGTTCTTCAATGGGAAAGAACCTTCTCGTGGCATTAATCCAGATGAGGCTGTTGCTTATGGTGCTGCTGTCCAGGCTGGTGTCCTCTCTGGGGACCAAGATACAGGTAATGACACCTTTATGCTTATCCAGGGGAATGCTGACTGAATACATGGGTTATGGACATGGGATATGTGTTACGGACAAATAAGTGTAAGAAGACTCATTTCTTTTCCAGTCCTTGAAGTTTTATGCCTCTGAGGCCTCAGGATCCTGGTTGCAGTGATAGGCTGTTGTGTTTCTTTCCATTTGAATTTGTGTCACACTCTTACCCTTGATCTGTTACAGGTGACTTGGTGCTCCTTGATGTCTGTCCCCTGACACTTGGCATTGAGACTGTTGGAGGTGTAATGACTAAACTGATCCCAAGGAATACTGTTGTTCCCACAAAGAAGTCTCAGATCTTCTCCACGGCTTCTGACAACCAGCCCACTGTGACCATCAAGGTCTATGAAGGTGAGTGTCACCTGTGGTGGCCCATGTGGCAGCTGGAATATGTCTGTAGGACCCCTATATAAGCTGCTGTCTTAAAGGCTGTAGATGTTTCCTAGACACTCATGGATTCTGTCCTCATAGAGGAGGGCTTGGTACAGCAATAGCTTTCCCAAGTGGCTCTGATCAAGCTGCTACACCTGCATCAAAAGCTGTTACTAGAATTTCTCATGTTTTTCCATGGCTGCATTCCAGCTGCAGGAGGTGCCTGGACAGATGTCAGGCTGGCATCAAAACCTCACCCATCCCAAGAGTGTAGTTTGTAGCTTTGCAAGGTACAAACCATGTCTCATTGTGCCTTCCAGGCGAGCGTCCCCTCACCAAGGATAATCATCTTCTGGGAACTTTTGATCTCACTGGAATCCCTCCTGCCCCTCGTGGTGTCCCCCAGATTGAAGTTACCTTTGAGATAGATGTGAATGGAATCCTCCGTGTCACGGCTGAGGACAAGGGCACCGGGAACAAGAACAAGATCACCATTACAAATGATCAGAACCGGCTCACACCAGAAGAGATCGAGAGGATGGTGAATGATGCTGAGAAGTTTGCTGAGGAAGACAAGAAGCTGAAAGAGCGCATTGATGCCCGGAATGAGCTGGAAAGCTATGCCTATTCTCTGAAGAACCAGATTGGAGACAAGGAGAAGCTGGGGGGTAAGCTGTCCTCTGATGACAAGGAAACAATAGAGAAAGCAGTGGAGGAAAAGATCGAGTGGCTGGAGAGCCATCAAGATGCAGACATTGATGACTTCAAAGCAAAAAAGAAGGAGCTGGAGGAGGTTGTTCAGCCAATTGTTAGCAAGCTCTATGGCAGCGCAGGCCCTCCCCCTGGTGATGAGGAAGCAGCAGAGAAGGATGAGTTGTAGACACTGGCGCCTCTGAATGTTGTTGTGTATATATTGGACTAAGGAACACTTGTTTAAAATATTGAACTCTTAATTTGGAATGTAACATTGAATCTTCACTCGTGAGTGGAGCTGGAAACGCTAGCCCGAAGTGGCTGTATACTGCTTTTGTTAGCAGTTGCTTGATGTCTGGGGAGGGAAGGGGCGTGGGGGGGGGGGAGTGTAAATGCAAATGGGTGTAGAGGTATTGGCAGTGGAAAGTTCTATTTAACAACGCGGTCATGTGAGCTTGGTGTAGAGCTTTTCTACCTGAAGTGACCACAATAAATTTGTTATTTACACTGTACTCTGCTCTAGCTCTGTTTGTTACCAGTTCTAACCAGGTCATGGGCTGTCCTAACCATGGGCTTCAAACCCTGCAAGGTGAGCAGATGGTAACAGCCCTACCCTCCCCCTCGGGTGGGATTTACACTTACTTCACCCCTCCCTTGCAGCTCCTCTGGGTGGAATGGGGACTCTGAAGTGTGCTGGTGCACATTAACCTCTGTGTGATCTTTCTAGATCCTTATAATAGGGAGTGACCACTTAGTAACTGCTGATGGGGCTGGTTTCTGCATTTTCCTTGCAGCGCTGCCTGCACTGGAGATACGCATGGGCAGGAAAGATGAGACGAGCTGCACTTCCCTGCATACTAGAACTAGGCTTAAGGGCTTTAATGGGTCTCACGGGACACAATGGACCTATTTTCTGAAGACTCTCAAATGCTAATTTCAAAATTTTCTTAACTCAGGATTAACCATAATCCTTAACCCAGCCGTGGGCGGAGGTAAATTGAACTGAGTTCAGCAGGAGCTTTTGTGGTAGCTGCGTTAACACCTCACAACCACTCAACAATTCACCTTCTCCCTGGTGGGGGGGGGTCTCACGCGTTTTCATCCACTCGGTTTTAAAACTGACAGTTCTATTCCAGATCATCCTCCCTAAAGCCTGTTTCCTGGTAACACTGTGCCTCTGCAATGAATTGCGTTCTGTAGCCACCAGCATGTGAGCTGCTTGGAATGCCACCCTGCTACGGTGTGAGCCCTTCCAGGCTTTCAAACTCCAGCAACCTCAAGCACCAGTGGATGAGGCTTCCCTGCAGCAGCTGCTCTCCCTGGGGCCAGCAGGATCATGCACCATGCCTCAGGGGGTGTGTGTTAGCAGAGAGCCATCCATTTGAGGGTAAGAACTTTATTGCCAAGAAGTAACCGGACAGTATAAAAGTGTACAAAAGGCTGGTGCTGCGCAGGAGCGCAGCTCTGCTATTCAATCAGACTGACAATGCAGTCACTGTATATCTCCCCCTGGGTGTCCATCCCACCAAATACCAATAGCAGATGCACAACTGTGGCCCCAGCATGCCCCTCATCCTGGCTCTTCAGCAGGGGACCAGCTGTGGCTTCCCCAGTGGCAGCTCCTGTGTGTTCGCTCTTCCCAGTCTGCCAGGGAATGACACACATGGCATGGTCCAGCCTCCCAGCAGGCAGAGGGGCATCGAACTGTAGGAGTGTCCACTGCTGCTTCTCTGCAGTGCAAAAACACAATGCACACCTTTAAATGCAGATTCACAGCCTCAGAGAACACTGCGGGGCACCCACCACACATTGGACTGGTTCTCAATGTAACTGCAGGGTACTGATAGTCGATACCAAGGGGTGAAGGCTGGGAGCAGAGGGGTAATGCATTCTCCAGCTGAGTGGCATTTATTGTTCTGCAGCTGGGCGAAGCCTCCCTACCTGTGTGATACTTGTATGTGGTGTCCAGCGTCCCCTCTGGACCTATTCCACCAAAAATGTACAAGTGGTCTTTAAACACAGCTGATGAGTGGGATGCTCGTCCTCCTGGGATGTCACCGGTGGCTGGTACCTTAACCCACCTCATGTCAGCTGGTGGAAAAAGAACACAGCCATGGTTATGCATTATAAAATCCCCACAAGTTTTGTTGTTTTAAACAAGGTGGGTAATCGAAGCAAGTCAGAGCTGTTCTTACAGAATAAAGGTCCCCCAGATCCAAACCTATCCCGCAGCAGCATCACTCTGGTACCTCTGTCCATACTCACTTGTATCGATGCAGAACAGGTCATTGTAAAAAATGTCCCCAGCTAAACCTCCATGGATGAAGAGTTTGGTCCCGACTGCAACCACGACGTGTCCGTGCCGAGGAGAAGGGGGGTCACCGTGAGTATCTGGCTGGGACCAGGTCAGGGTGGCTGTAAATGGGGGTACACGTGTTAGGAAGAAAACCCCAGTGCTTCCTAAGGAAGTGCCTTCAGCAGGGTTGGAGAGGAGCTTGTGATATCAAAGACCAAGCATCATGGCCCCCCTGGAGCTCCATGTGCTTTTCTGGTCACCCAGTCGCAGGGCAGATTAATTCAAACTGGAAAGCAAACCTGTCCTCGTACATGCAGGGCTGCAAGAATGAATACGGCAGCACAGGATGACGCCACCATGGAAAGGAACTGGCTGTTGGGCAAATGGGACCAACCACTCCATATCCCACGGTGTTCCTCACCCCATAGGTTTATGCTGCCACTTTAGCCCATACTCCCAGTGCCTACACCGAGACCAGTGCAGTGAGGAACATTCGCCCATCCATTTAACCTCGCAGCCAAAGCAGGGGACTGATGTTTCTATGGCTTTGACAATCTGAAATGCAGAGCTCCCGTTCAACAGAGGCTGGGTTCTGCCGTTTGCCGTAAGGGCCCTTTACGTGCCCAGAAGTACCTGTGTCAAACACGTGAAGCCGCTGATCTCTGACTGGTTCTGCGCCTTTCTCTCCCCCTCCGAACACGTACAGGCACTCCCCTACCGCTGCTGAGGACGTGTGGAAGGTCCGAGCCAGCGGCTGCTCCCCGCTCACTTCAGGGCTCTCCCAGGTTCCTATTTCTAATTAAGACATTGATTAACAAATTAACATTAATTAGACAATTTAACGCCCGACCCCCGTGCCCCGCGCCCTCCGTCACTCACCCGGGTCCAGCACCTGGACGCAGCTCCGGTTCCCCGCGGGGTGGGCGCCTCCGAAGACCCAAACCCGAGGGGTCCCAGCGGCGGGCAGGAACGTGGCGTGCTCATAGCGCGGCCTCAGCCCGCTCCAGCCGGCCGCGGCCCATCGGTGCGCGCCTGCGGGCACCGGACAGCGCGGTCAGCACCGGCCCGGCTGCGCCTCCCGCCCGGCCCGGCCCGGCCCGGCCCCGGCGCTGGCCCTCACCCAGCTCCACGAAGTGCGCGTCCGCGAATGCACCGGCGGGGTCGGCGCCGCCGAGGACCAGGACGCGGCCGGTACCGCTGCCGGGAAGGAGAACGCAGCCGTGCCCCACACGGCCGCAGGGCCGCTCCCCCTGCGGCGACAGCCGGTACCTGCGGGAGGGGGGCAGCGCTCAGCCGGGGCCGCCCCGCGCCGGGCCGGGCCCGCACCCCTCCCGCCCCGCTCACCACTTGCCCCGCTGCGGGCGGCGCCCCGGCTCCAGCGGCGGCAGCGACCGGGGCCCCATCACCGGGGAAGCGGAAGCGGAACGCGGGGCACGTCCGCTGGCGTCGGCGGCTCCGCTTCCGGCCCTGAGCCGCCGTTCCAAGATGGCGCCGCTGGACCTGGACAAGTACGTGGAGATCGCGCGGCTCTGCAAGTACCTGCCCGAGAACGACCTCAAGGTGCGGCCGCGCCGGGCGGGCGCCGGGGCCGGGGCTGGGGCTGGCCCGGGCCCGGGCCGGGGGTCCCGGTGGGTGCCGGGTCCGGCGCTGACCCGCTCTCCTCCCGCAGCGCCTCTGTGACTACGTGTGCGACCTGCTGCTGGAGGAGTCCAACGTGCAGCCCGTCTCCACGCCCGTCACGGTCTGCGGGGACATCCATGGGCAGGTAACGGCTCCGCCGCTCGGCCGCCCCGCGCCCCCGCCGCCGACCGGGGCCGGCCCTCAGCCGTCCGCTTCCCTCCGCAGTTCTACGACCTGTGCGAGCTGTTCCGGACCGGCGGGCAGGTCCCTGACACCAACTACATCTTCATGGTACGTGGGGCCCCTGCCCCGTCCGGTGCCTCCGGACCCGGTTTAACGGTTGAGCCCCACCGGCAGCGTTGCCTTGGCCTGTGCTGTTGGGGTTCATTGTGTTGAGCCTGAGCTCTGCAGCGGGCAGCCTGCCCCGCAGCATCACCTGCCATCGTGAGGGGTGGCCTGGGGCCCACTGGGTCTTGGGTTGGGGCAGCCTTGGGTGACCACAGGCAGACTTGAAACCAAAAGAGCATGGATCTGATGGATCCCGGCTTCGCTTGGTGCTGGGGTCTTTCCACACTGCGGATGGTTGTAACACTGTGTTTTGGCTGTTTCTCCATTTATGACTGTGTTTTTGACTTGCAGGGTGACTTTGTAGATAGAGGTTATTATAGTCTTGAGACTTTCACTTACCTGCTTGCATTAAAAGCTAAGTGGCCCGATCGTATCACACTGTTGCGAGGCAATCACGAGAGCAGGCAGATAACACAGGTGTATGGATTTTATGGTGAGTCTTTATCCAAACGATTTCTGAATGGGGGCGGACGCGTAATTCCCTTGGGAACCCTCTTGGAAGCAGCACTGCCTTGGGTGTTCCTAGGAGCAGAGGGGAAGTGGGCTCCCATCATTTGTTAATGTGATCATTGTGTGTGTGAAGTAGAATGTCTTTTTGTCCAAGTCTTGTTGCTCTTGCCCTCTGGTATCTGTGTTTTCTGGTGCCACATTCATTTGTGGAGCACATTCACGCAGGATGCACTTTGCTCTCCTGTAACGAAGGGTTCTACACAAAGCCATGATATTACTGTACAGCCCCTTTAAGCCCCCTCTGGTTCCGGTTTCCACCTCAGTTCTGTGTAAATCTGCTGCTTGAAGCCCTGGGCTGCTCTCACTAAGGATTAGTCCCCAGTGGACGCATTCTCTGCTGTGCTGCCTGAGACCCTGTTTTCCCTGTGTCACTTGGAAAGCGAAGTTCAGCAGGATCCAGGGTCCACTCCCTATGGGGCTCTGTCACAGGCCTGACCTTGCAGGTTCTGCTGCCAGCATTCACCTCTGATCTCTGAATGCATTCTGATCATTCAGGGGATTTCTCTGTTTAACAGATGAGTGCCAAACCAAATACGGAAACGCTAATGCTTGGAGGTATTGCACCAAAGTCTTTGACATGCTCACGATAGCGGCTGTAAGTGAAACACCACGTTCAGAACATACAACAGGCTGTCTAAATGGGAGCGCTGGAATCGGTGACCTTGAAGGGTCACAGGGCTGGCATTGGGCTGGATTAGCATCCTGAGTGTCTTGGATTTGTCTTCCTTTTGCTGCAGTTAATAGATGAGCAGATCCTCTGTGTGCATGGCGGCCTCTCTCCAGACATCAAGACACTCGATCAGATTAGAACCATTGAACGTAATCAAGAAATTCCTCACAAAGGCGCCTTCTGTGACCTGGTCTGGTCTGACCCAGAAGACGTCGACACATGGGCCATCAGCCCACGAGGAGCAGGCTGGCTCTTCGGGGCGAAGGTGACGAATGAGGTAAGGACGCTGCCATGTGCAAGACAAAGTGACTGCAGGTACGAGAGCAGCTGAAGCGTTCAGCTCGGTTCGGTACTTACCATGTCAGTGGATGGGTTGAGGGTACCACAGGGTGATGAACTTCCCATGTAAGATAGCTGCAAACAAGTCATGGCAGCGGAAGGTTTGGAAGGATGTGCCATGTGAGCCAGACATGGTGATACCCATCTGGCTTTTAAAGTGTAATTCAGTGAGACCCAGGATTATCACAGGGGGTTGTGCAGAAGTTCAGAAGTTTCTTTAAGGATTTAGGAGAACAAAAACACCATTTCTCTTCAAAATTCTTAATTTTGGTACTGTGGAGAACGGTAAGCTCAGTGTCAGGGCTAATCCATGCTGACCCTCCCTCAACTGTGTTATGAGTGCTGCCCTCATGGCATGCGTTGCCTCTGTGTCCTTTCTGCAGCACACTGTGGCATGGCTGAGCCGCAGCTCAGTGCACAGGGAAGCTCAGTGGAGTCTGACCTCCCTTTTTTGCCTTGGCAGTTTGTCCACATCAACAACTTAAAGCTCATCTGCAGAGCGCACCAGCTGGTTCACGAAGGCTACAAATTCATGTTTGATGAGAAATTGGTAACGGTATGGTCTGCTCCAAACTACTGCTACCGCTGTGGAAATATCGCCTCAATCATGGTCTTTAAAGATGTAAATACAAGAGAACCAAAGCTATTCCGCGCAGTCCCGGATTCAGAACGTGTAATTCCTCCCAGGACAACCACGCCGTATTTCCTCTGAGGCCTCTCCCTGCCTGCTGCCTCCCTCCTCCCCTGTACTGTCCCCTTTACAATATACTTTTTATCGAGCACTTTGCTGCTGAAATGCTGCCTCTTGCCTTTTTTATTTTTAAGTTATCTAAATTTATTGTGTCCGATGGTGTCTGTAGCAAAGTTGGTTTGGTTTTATTTCCCCTTTACCTTTAGATTCATTTCAGAGTATTTGTAACACGCCCTTGAGATTTATACTACTGCATGTCGTTCTTGCGCGTTTCGGGGTGTAAGTGAGCCATTCCCGTGGCTCCGGGCGGGAAGCGCCTTGCTCCCGGCGGGTTTCCCTTCCCTTTGGTAAGTTTTAAAGGAAATTTCAGCAGCAAAGTTCCTGCCTGATGCTGTGACGGGGTTGTGCGTCCTGTCACCGCTTGTTTTACGTGGATACCGTGGCCAGAAGGGCTGTTTTTCCCTGTCCCCGCATCCCCCCGGGGTTATTTTGTTTTCCATAAATCCCGGTTCCAAACGCACCGACCTGCTACAGCGCTGGGGTTTGTACATTAAAATCATTGTTCTGACTTTTTCCAGATGCCGTGTGTTTGTGCCGTATCGCGATGTACCGTCCCGTGTACCCCCATTCATTCATCCATCCATCGATCCCCCGGGGCGGGTACCGCCGCATCAGCCCGCCCCGGGTCCCGCCTCCTCTGCCCGGGGCAGGGCTCCCCCGGTCGTTCCGGTTCCGGGGTGGGTGCGGGTCTGGGTCCGGTTCCGGGGCGGGCGGCGGCGGAGGCATGGCGCGGAGCACGCTGTCCTCCCGCTTCCGCCGCCTCGACATCGACCAGTACGACGAGAACCGCTTCGTGGAGGAGCCCGAGGAGGCGGCGGCCGCTGAGCCCGACGCTGGGCCCGAGGTGGAGGCGCTGCTGAGGCAATATCCTTGGGGAGCGGGGCCGGGGCGGGAGGACGGGCGCCGGTGGCACCCGGGGAGGGTCGCGGAGGCGCCGCCGCGTTCTCGCTCGTCCGTAGCCGAGCGCTTGCGCCGCGGGCGGGGGAACGGCCCCTGGAGCGCCCCGCTCGGCCTCGTTGCAGACCCTGGGGCTTTCACCTTCACCGGGAGCTGCCGGTGGAGTCACAGAATCCCAGCCTGGGCTGGGGTGAAGGGGCCTTAAATCCCGTCCAGCCCCAGCCCCTGCCACGGGCAGGGACCCCTTCCACTAGAGCAGCTTGCTCCAAGCCCCTGTGTCCAGCCTGGCCTTGAGCACTGCCAGGGATGAGTCCTTGACTTCTGCGCTGCACAGGGGACGCGCTGCGAGCCTTTCACACCGCCATCCGGAGCAGCCCCGCCAACATGAAGAGCCAGGCCATGAAGGTACTGAGCAGGGCAGGGATGTGGGCTCGGTGGTGGATCACTGGGGAGTGCTGCGATGCCGTGGTGTTACCCCAGAGATCCGATCAGCACCCCTGCACTGTTACTGAGTGACAGAGCGGTGGGCTGTGCACGCAGTCCCTGTGTATTCACCCACTCCTTCTTCTCACTCCTGAATCCCGAGGTGAAATAGTCACCTACACAGCCTGCAGTGTAGCCACCAGCCCTCAGCATCCACTGTGGAACACAAGTCCAAGGGATCGTTTCCAGCTTTGCCAGTTCTCATGTTGTTCTCCTTTCCTTATCTTCACAGGAGCAGGCCCAGGGAACCATGTTTAAAGTCCTCACATCTTTTAAGAGCAGCGAAATAGAACAAGCGGTGAATTCCTTAGACAGAAATGGTGTTGACTTGTTAATGAAGTACATTTATAAAGGATTTGAAAAGCCAACAGAAAACAGCAGCGCAATATTACTGCAGTGGCATGAAAAGGTACGTGTCTGGTGCACGCTCGGCTCAGCAGGGTCCTTGTTGAAGGAGCAGTGGTGACAGCAGCAGATGGTGGCAGGGCTGGTCTACAAGGATCACTGCAACTGCGGTTTCCTTTTGGGCTCTTCGAGTTGGACTCTTAAGCAGTTGCCTGTATTTCAAGTCTTTAACCCCAGCCAAGGGAGAGTTGAGACGTGGGGCAGGGCAGTGTCTCCTGGAAGAAGTGTTGTGGCTTCTTCTGTGGCCAGCCCCACTGAGGGGACAGAGCTGGAGCTGAGGAGGTGTTGGTGAAGCAGTGCAGGGGCAGCGTCCTTTTATAGCTGGGTGCTTGGCAAAAGGGGTGCTCAGCCTGGTGGTTTTCATCAGGTGAAGGCTGCTGGCAGCACATGTCACAGCTCAGAACAGGATTTAGTAACAGGAGAGGCTTTGGA